ATATATATATATATATATATATATATATATATATATATATATATATATATATATATATATATATATATATATATATACTTTTTTGGGATTAGATATTAATCATAAAACTTCTGAATCCCACTGACAAATTCACATTTAGAATCTAAAAATACAACCCCCTGACGAGATTAGCCAATGGCAGAAGCCCATCCGCTTCGTGGGAAGAGCCAAGATCGGATATCTTCTGAATAAGTAAAGCCTGGATTTAAATATTCATGAGTTTCCCGGGCCTACTACCTCCTCCTCAGTGGGAGCGGCGCGTCTCCTACTCCATTTTTGTCAGACGGGTGGAGGAACGCACTCTCGGCGGGGATACTGTCAGTCCACGCAGCGGATACTTCATACCGAGCAACAAAGGCTTCGAGAGCGATTACTGCAGGCTGTTTTCCTTTACTTTTAGTTGAGGAAGAGTCTATCCAGTGGCCTCAGGTTTCTGATATGGTAGATTATCACGCGGCGAATAATCAATCCTTATATTCAGCGGGCGGACAGCAGATCTACATGGAGCAGGAGAACGACTGGGACCGGGACCTACTGCTGGACCCGGCCTGGGAGAAACAGCAGCGGAAGGTAAGAGCTTCTGAAAGCCCGGGGGCCGCCGCAGGGGCCTGTAAAATGAGATATTTGCGCGTATAACGCGTTTTATTCTGATTGCTTTTATACGCGCTTAGAACGGCGGCACGCTTCGAATGTTAGCATGTTTCGCGGGATTCGAATGTTACAGTGTTGCGCGCGCGTGTGTGCGTGAGTGATACATTGTAACGGCTGAACCTGTTTTACTAGAGCGAGTTTCATTCGCCGCCGCTGCCTTCTTTCCTCTGTTCTTTCTCAACGCGACATCCAGACTCCTAGTTACAGCAGACATCCGGGTTTAAAATGGCAGTAGCTAGATATCACAGCACGGGAGCTTAAAATAGCTGCCGAAATGGTGTTTCTGGAGTTTATCTGCTGCTCTGGAGAGGAAAGATAAGCTAAAAAGAATAATAAAAAAATAAAAAAGGAAAGTATGAGGCGCGTTCTCGTTTTGAATGAACTCTGCGGTGTTTCTATGTAAAACCTGAGTGATAGTGAGTGTTCTAGTGTTTCATACACATGAATTATAATAAGGAATATTGAGGAATGCTCTGGGGTTGAATGAGGTTTTTGGGTGTGTGTCTTTTGGGGCAAAGACAAGCTTGACTGATTTGGTGTGACAGAAGGCTTTTAGGGAGAGTTTGAGAAAGGAAGGTCAAAGTTTGATTGGAAAAATAATTAATTATTAACCCACCAGAGCCCCTTCAGCAAACACTCTCACACACAAATGAATCACACACACATATATATATATATATAGTCACAGTCACTGGCCTTCAGACCCCAGAGGTGTGACCGACCCATAAACGGCATTTATTTGAGCAAGTCAAGTGGAGAAAGAGATCGACTGAACTCTTGAGCTCTCCTCCCCCTTTCTATACTTGTTTGGTAACATTTGTGAAGCCAAATATCTAGAAAGCAGGGTAGCCGTCCAATACATACCATATGGATTTCAGGAACTAAGATGAATTTAAAGCAAACTGCCAGTGTCTATTACTATATAGCTTGTGTAAATGACTCCTACAACCTGACCGGTATCAGTGAACAGTTGTCACATCTGTGTCTTTGACGGTACTAGACTGGAAACAGTGCTAAAAAAGTCAGTAGTGGCCTACACTTTTTTTTTTTTTAGCCAATCAGAAATGCCCACCGCCTTGGAGCTATCCAATTAGCTGACATTTTTGGAGGGCGGGGTTTTAGAGAGCAGGTTTGTGGTTGGGGTCGATCTAATTAGTTGTGTTTGGTATTGCATTCTACCGTTTCGCTTTTACAAGTACTGTAGTATGTATACTATGCTCAGTGTGCATCAGTATTGCCAGAATGTGTGTGGAAAAATGTCCCACAATGCAGTTTGCTTCACATTTTGACATGACCTTCCATTTCCAGTGTCTAAAATTTCATAATGTTTTAATCTTTAATTCCAAAAGGTATTGGTTAGGTTAAGGCTTAATTGTCATAAGTGGCTTAGTTATAGTAAGGGCCAGGACCAATGCAATCTACCAAGAGTAGCACAAATTAGCAACTATCGTAAACATGTCAAGCACAAAATGGGTTAATGTATGCTTTTTTGTGTGTTAAATAATGGCACAAATACCAATAAATTGACTACCGCAAACTTTAGTAATCATGTTGCATGATTTATTTAAATACTCTCCTCCCATAAATGTTATGTGTCCAAAAGTGAAACTCCTACAAATGCATAAGCAATAAGCTCAGCCGCAAACATACGTTTCCACAGTAATTTATTACTGTGTGTCTTTAGTTCCTGACAGTAGATTTTTAACGCCAAAAAAGGGTTTGTGATCGTGCAAGGTGTTCAATCTGGCCGGATGTGTGTAATTTCCACACCACTAGTGGCACTAAACAGAATTGCAAAAATAATGACTGTTATCAAACAGGTCTGATTAACTGTTATTGAGTCTTTTCTCATTTCCCTGGTTTTCAGAAGCGGATGTCATCACAGTTGGCAAATCTATAGTGGTGAACGGAAACTACAACATGTATAATATTTGATCATATTGTTTAATCTTTGAAAAGGAGAAAAAAAATATTGAGAGATTGAGACATTGGTCAGAAGAGAGAAAGATGTTAAATTTGCTGTCACTCCCTCAGCCATTGTATTAGACTTCACTTGTTTTCTGTAATTGATTGTCAAAGTAATATTACGCAAGTATAGTGTTATAAATGTACATAATGTGTAAAAGGGTCCATTGCATTTCCGTTTGCTGCCACTAGTTGAATAGGAATTGCACACTTTGCCTATACGGACAATGAGTCTGTGAGATCTTCACAGGTCTGCATGTCTCTGAGTCTAAAGTTTAGTGAATGTCCCTCTAATCTCAACACGGCATTGGTCATAAAATGATGTTTTGGCTCTGGAATTTCTATTGCATGTTTGTGAGGATGAATATTACACACAGACCAAAGTTCACTTGTGATTACTAAACCAACGCATCCTTGTTAAACCCCACACTGAGTTTCATTACAGTCTGCATGCACTGTTGCCTATTTCTGCTTGACTGAAACCAGGCATGTTGAAATATACCAAAGTGATCACCTTTTTCGTGACAGACATGAAATTACTCCCTGACAAATGCCAAACGCCCCGTGACCGGCTAGGACTTGCCTCTCCGCTCCACCCAAAATGTCTGAAAGGTCATTGAAGTGTTTCATTCTCTATTGAACAGCCTGTTTGGGAGTTGCAAAGCTGGGCGAATATGAATTGAAATAAGACGCAGTGATTTAACCTGCTTTGTTCTTGTTGTGTAGATAAGCACATATAAATCCAGTAGTGTTTAATAAGAAATATGTCTGGAAAGCAAAAACACAACCTCGTGCACTACAGGACAGATAGGTTTTTTTGCAAATGTTTTCTAGATTAGAAGATCATGATAACTTCATATACAAACATACGCAATCGGTAGAGGATTTTTTAAGGACGTTTTCGGTAGTCGTTTCTTGTGTCATTCCATGGCCGTTTATATCACAGGGATCTTTTCTTCAATTTATCGTGACTTTTTTGTATAGTTTCAAACAATTTCCAGTAGCCTTTTCTATTCCTGTATCGTCATCAAACACTTCCAGATGTTTATGATGAGCATAGCTGTCAGTTGTATATTACACTCTAAAAAATGCTGGGTTGTTTCAACCCAATGTTGGGTCAAATATGGACTAACCCAGCTGTTGGGTTAAAAAGCTCATTTAAAAATGTAACCAAAATTTAACCCAACAGTTGGGTTAGTCCATATTTGACCCAACATTGGGTTGAAACAACCCAGCATTTTTTAGATTGTATAAACAGATGTTTTGACTCTAAATTCTGACAGGGTTATTATAGTCAACTAAAAAGAAAACCATAAAAAACATTGTTTTGTTACTTAAATGTTAACTAAAATAAATGAGAAACAACTTTTTATCTTATGTTTATTTAGTTCAGATGCACTAAAATATCTATAGACATAAAAAAATAAAATAAGTTTGAGTAAAAAGAAAATATAACAATAAATTCAATGTAACATTTTTTAAATATATAAAATAATTCAAACTAATAATAAAAACTATTATAATTTCTAATTGATACTAAAATAACACTGAATTCTGATTGGAGGAACTGCATTCTAATCTGCCACCCAATGTAATGTTGCTTAGCAACAGTAACAGACTATAGTACTTAGTACAAGAAGTGTTTATTGTGACGTTATTATTATTATAAATGGTCTTTTATTACATTGATGTTGCCATCAAAATAATAAACCACTCAAGGCTGAGTGTTTTAGTGATATTTACCATAGTCGAAGACTTAAGGGTATAGTATTTAGACCCCTTACATCAAATAAATTCACTGTAACGCATGGCCTCGAGTGTATTATTGCTTTATAGCACCGTTAGGGGCAACAAAATAAGAATTCCAGAGAACCAATAACATACGCCAAATAAAAACCCTTGAGTCATGAGGCTGTTTGGTAGCGAGTTTGGCTCTGTATAAAGGTCTCTCTCTCTTTGTATTTCATCATGTCTGTTTAAATTGTTACAGGACTGAAATGAGCAGCAGCAAGTGTAATGGAATCACATCAACTAGGCTGCAGACTAAACTAGACTCGAGCTACTGATCCAGAGGTCGCGTTCCTCAATCAAACAGTGGGATTCATTCTCAAAAGTTCAACACATTGGCTCCGTTCCAAAACCTAGTGAGTTGCCGTGCTGTCTACTGGCTAGATAGGCAGTTGTCTTCTCAGGCAGCATTTTAACTGAAAGGTAACCTCATAAGTGACTAATATTGTTGTGCTCTACAAAAAGGTAACCTCATAATTATGGAGTTCTCTACAAAGGTTGAAACCTTTTGTTGTGATTATATTGCACATATTTTCGTCATGCATTTCATGTGAAGTTTCTTATGTAAGATTCATGTTTAATAGTAGATATGTTAGATTAGGGCTGCACGATTACTCGAATGCGATTGTCATGCACATTTTGATAGTAATGCGGGTTCTGTAATCAGCAGGAAATCATCATCACGTGTTTTCAGATGGAGCAGAATTTACTACACATAGCCGTAGTTCACTGACAAGTTACGCAAAAAAAAATCGCAGATGATTTTATTGCGCGATTCTGAAGAAATCGTTCGCGATAATGACAGCTGTTTGCATAGCTTCTCAGTGAACTACGGCTCTGTGTAGTAAATGCTGCTCCATCTGAAAGCATGTGAAAATACCACATTTAATAA